TTAATAATCATTACATTTTCGATGGTGTTTAAAGTAAGATCTATATATACAACAGGAAACCTATACAACAGAAAACAGAACATCAATGAAAAAAAATTATATTTTTTTAAATGGTAATCATACTTTCGATCAGTGTTAATGTGATAAATCTCTATTCGAAAGAGAGAGAGACAGAGACTCTTTGTCTCTCTCTTTCAAATAGAGATTGTCGCGCATGCGCATGAAGCCTCTCCAACATCGGAATACTGCTTTCAATGATTAATTGACAACAAAGTAGACATTTTGACTTGTGATGTTAGAAATTGAACATTTGAATTCACTTGTTTATACTTTCCTGTTATATATGTAAGTCCTATTCTAAACATCATCTAAAGTATGATGATTATTGAGTCTTGACAATTTGTCTGTCATCAATTACAATTACAAAAAGACACACGCTAAGTGCATATGAGAGCGAAGCGATTTTATATGTAAGATACATAGATCCATTTTTTGATTTAGGTACCGTAAAGTGGGGTGATAGTAATCACTTTTTTTAGTTCTTCATTGAAAACCTCCACTAAATGTGATAAGAAAATTGTGGAAAAAAAATTTATATTCTCTAGCATTTAGGAAACAGTTCCCGAAAGAATTTTTACAATAAAGTGATTAGTTAATTTGTGTGGTTTGTTTAAACATTGATCCATATCACCCCGGAGGTCGGGGTGATAGTAATCACACATTATAATAGCTCAAAAGTCAATTTCTCATCGCTGAGGCGATATTGATCATAGAAATATTTTAAAAAAGTAGTAAAGGATAACAAATGACTCATTCAATTGAAAAAAAAATAGGTTTATTGATCTTGATAACTTACATAAATAAAAACGAGATCTTAAAGATTTTTTTATCTATTGGTTTGTGATATTGCAAAATATTAAATACAAATGACTAGGAAATGTATCTACTAGAATTTTAGTAGTAGAAAAACTAAAAGAATGCTTATCACTATGAAGAATAATCACAATATCAATAAAGACAAAGGAACTTGTTACTTAAAAAAAAAGAAACAATAAAGAACGTAAAAAAGTGTTTTATAAAATATTAAAAAGTAATTAATCCACTTCATTGTAGTTCAGTGAACTGAAAATTACCCCTCTTCGTCTAGTCGTCTCTCCTCTCAATTGTTTTACAACACATTCTTTCTTAATTTCCTGCTCATCTACAACCGTGGGGAAAACAAATAAGATCATTTTTTCCCAACATTTTTCCTAAGAAAATTTACCATCACTGTCTCACTTCCTACCATGGTAATGACGCCAGTAAACTTTCTTATTATTTTATTTACAGTAAATTTTACGAGCACCTAATCGCCTATTTTCAGTTCATTATATTGACTTTTTGCTTCCATCATTTCGCTTCCAGCAACAGCATTTTCTCCATCATCCCTATCTACTGGCTGTTCTATTGCCATAATTTCATCTTCTTCTTCTCGTAATTCAGGATCTATTGATTGTGTACATTCGTCATCGTAAAAATCTCTTGGTAGCACGCTTCTATCAGCTGGTACAGATATTTTCCCGCCTCTTCTTGTGGCTGCAGGGATTGACTCAGATCGGCATCCTAGCAGTTCTTCAACCCTGTTGATAATACTGTCAGTTCATGAAGTGGTGCTACTATTATCTACTTCTGAATGGATTGAAAAATGTTTTATAACAACATCTGGGTTCCATGGATGAATCCCAGTGGCCTTAAAACCTGATTGCAAATTTGTGGATAAATTGATACCCACTTCATCAAGCGCTGATTTTAACATGCGCGGAAACACGGTTTTAGGAAGTGTTCCTCGGTTCCTCACCTTCACTCATCCAATACTTTCCTCTACTTTCGTTTAAGTGGGCGAAAAAACGAAACGTCGAGCGGCTGACACAGGTGGGTGCTGTTTTTAGGAAGGAATACAAATCGAATATTGTTTTCCAAACACAGTTTGACTACATTCTCAGAAACATGACTGTTCAAGTTATCACCGATCAAAACTTTTGGTCCGTCAAACCTTCTTAAGTATGCTAATGCAATGGACTCGAACCAATCTTCAAACGTGACTTGGTCGAACCAACCTGAGATGGTTCGATTGAACCGACAGCCAGGTGACCCTCCTTCCATCCATGGTTCATAAAGATGTTTTGCTTTGTATACCACGTAAGGTGGTAAACAGGTGTCGTCAGCAGCCCCAGCAATCATTACGCTTACACTATTCTTAGAAGAATCTCGTAGTCTGTCAGCGTGGCGAACACCCCTTTTGACAATCACAATCTGGGAGCCTGGATTATCGCAAAAATTGGTTTCGTCATAATTGACGATGGATTGGGGACTTACACCTTCAATACTAATCTTGAGTTCATTGAAGTAGTCAATCATTATCTCTTTCGACACATTTGCCCTTGCTCTTTTCAGGTTTTCAGCAAATCGCATTGTAAGTTCAGGGTGTCGATTCATGAAATTATAAATCCATTCTTTGCCGGGGGTATTTTCTTTGAAGCATTTTACATGTCGCCCCAACCTGTCCAAATAACCTTTTACTATATATTTCATGTCGAGTTTCCTCATTGGAATGCGCCAACGTGCACAAACAATCAAACATTCCACTAATTGTTTCTCGTCATCGTCATTGAAAACAGTTTGACCACCATACTTCCCTATATGGAGCCCTTTCACTTTGTTCCGAAGTGTGGCGAACGGAATTCCATGGAGTTCAGCTGCCTTTCTAATGGAAAGTCCTTTCCTGATAGCTGTGATAGCCTTATTCACAGTATCTTCTGCGTAATTTATTCGGGAGCCTGGTCCAACCAATTTATTGTAAGTTCGGGGTATTTTTTCGTGATTACTATCACCCCTGAAAAATTCCATTTTTGTCTGAATATGGTATATCTTCATGTGACAATGTCCGAATTTTATGACATCTTGAGAATTTAATCTTTAGATATTAGAGAACATGAAAAACAATGTTTAAAACTACTCAAATTCTCATGAAACATCGGTACAGATAGAACTAAAACTACTTACCTGGGACGCGGTATCCAGCCTTATTTGTTTATATTGTGGTAAATTTCCTATGACTTACTCCAAGAAGCGGGACACACTACCATCATTGAGAAGAGATGTTAAAGGAACGATACCATCACCAGAAAACCCCTTTCCATGCATGTAGAGCGCAGCACTCACCGTTAAAGGGAAAAAAATCCTTATGATCAATATCACCCCGTATGATTATTATCACCCCAGTTTACGGTACGCATTAGTTAATATTTGTCATCTGAAACTTGTCTAATTATTTATAAAATACTCAGATAATTATTTAAAGTTTGATTTAAATGTTTCAGTTAAATGATATATATGTAACATCCATATATTTGTAACAGCGCTTTGATTGAAAAACCGAGTTAACCAATCAAATCGTTCCACTGGGACAAGTGCGTTGTGCGTCGTACGTTGTGTCGTCTCAATGGGCTATATTCATAGTCCAGTCTTATATTTAAAGTCGTCTTAAGTTCACGTTCATTCATTACTCAAAAACTACTTGTTATTACTCTGATAATTTAAGTAATAATGAATTATTATAAAAAGTATTGAGTTGGTAACGTTTTCATCAAGTTTTGAAGATCCTTTTCTTGACAGTTCGATGATGCGTATCTCATGCATACGTATTCTTAAGTTTTAACACAAAAGGTTCAGTTATATTTATTATTATTATCCAAGAAATATAACTCTGTTACTGTTATCGTTGCATTTAAAGTGATTAATATCTGTATTAAAAAATTACACACAAAAAATTACTTTTAACCTTCTAACGTAACAGCGTTACAAAGTTGTCACTCATTGTTTATTGAAAAACTTGCTATCGTCATTACTAATTGTATAAAAACTATTCGTTATCGTTCTGATAATTTAAAGAGTAATGAATTATTATAGAAAGTATTGAGTTGGTATTGTTTTTATCAAGTTTTGAAGATCATTATCTTGACAAATCCAAGTCAACTCAGTGCTTTCTATAACAATTCATTACTCTTCAAATTAACAAAGTCATAACGAGTAGTTTTTGTAAAATTAGTAATGGTTAAAGCAAATTTTTAAATAAACAGTGAGTGACCACTGCGTAGTTAGTGCTGCTTATGTTAGAAGATAAATAATTTTTGGTCTGTAATTTTTTAGTACAGATGTTAATCACTTTAAATGCAACGATAACAATAATAGAGTTATATTCTATATTTCTTGATTAAGGGCCGGTTTATCAATGCTCAGCTAAAAGTGATTGCTACTTAACTGAAAGTTAAGAGATAGCTAAGAGTTATTGTTCTAGTCATCTATCTATGCGTTTATCCACTGCATTATTGACTATTAGTTAAATAACTGTCAGTTACTTTCGTTTTGACGTGGGTTGGTAGTACTATTAGTAAAGTTGTGCGTTTCTGATTGGTTATCCGATCGGACGTTGTGTGAATCTTCCTTTACTTTATATCGTTTTGATTTGGATGACATAATCTAAAAATGAAATAAAGTACACCAGTGAACGTGTTACAATGGACACGAAAAAAGATAAAAGAGGTCCAAATTTTACTGCTAGCGATAAGCAATTATTATTAAAATTAACCAACGAACACAAAAATATAATTGAGTGTAAAAAACTGATGGTTGCACGTGGAAAAAAAAGATGAGACATGGCAAAAAATAGAAATTTTATTCAACAGCTCCACTACAGGCATAGTAAGTACAAGTTAATTTTTTTTTATTACTATGCGGATACAATATGCAATATATAAATAAATAAAAAAAAATAGTAATATCTTAACAGCATCGAACTGCAAAACAATTAAAATCCAAATATGAAGCAATAAAAAGAGATTTGAAAAGAACGAGCAAAAAACAAAGCTTATGCAAGAGGCACAGGTGGAGGACAGTTTATACCTCCACCTGCTACAAACACAGAAGAAGAAAAAGAATTATTAGAAACAATTGAAGTCAGTGTTGAAAAACTGACAAACACGTATTCTGATGGTTTGTCCGGTAAGTAATTTTTATATATATGAAGGCTAATTTATAATCTATTTATTTAATCACTACAATGTGAATAAAAATGACAGAATAAAATTATATATGATTAGTGATAACAAATTAGTGATAACAGTTTACTTATCTTTGCCATGATCTTTGAAATAAATGTTATATTATACTGTTATTAAGGCAATGATAACTTACTGCTACCACTAATTTATAAATTCATTGTTACGTATACAATTATAAAATTATACTTATTGAATTGTTTTTAAATATTAGGAATTGTTGGAATTGAATTATCGGATGAAACTGTTATACCAGTATGTTTAGGAAATGATACTGTGGAGATGGATTAGAGTAATCATACTCCTGAAATGTTAAAAACACCTATTCATAACGCACTTCTTATTTCTGACAAAGAAATTCCAAATACCAGTGAACATCTTAACAGTCAAAAGACATCTGACAGCCCACCCGTCATACAGCAACCAAGTAATTTAAAGAAATGATCACTTAATAAATACTAGAAATGTGAAAAAAATATAATAAAAAATAATGATCAAATATTTATATTTTATAGGAAACAATTCATGGAGTAGTAGAAGACGACCAGTTTTGCATAAAGCGAGTAAATCTTCAGCTAGTGCTACATTTGAATTACTTGCTGAGAAGAAAATGGAATTAGTTGGGAAGCAGATGGAAATGGAGAAAATAAAAACAGCTTATTTACAAGAAAAGAATCAACTGGAAATAGATATCCTAAAGTTGCAAAAGGAAGAGACACAATTAAAGATAGATTTATTAAAAAAACAATTATTAAAGTCATAATATCAATTCTGTCTCTCTATCTCTCTCTTTCTCTCTGTCTCTCTTTTTCTCTCTCTTTGTGTTAATTCTTTAAAAAAAATTTTTTAACAATACCGTACAATTATACTTTAATTATTTTTGTTTTACTTTGTCTAATAGAAAATGCTTAGTAAAATTATAAATTATTTTTTTTATTTTCTCCTTACTTCACTACATTGTTCTTTTAAATCTTTGATTATCTTGATGTCCGTGAATGTCTTCTTTAATAAAATATTTGTTAACATTTCAGAGACAAGATATTGCAATTTATATTCACCAGTATTTCACTTTCCTAACATAATGATAAATATTGATTGTAATCGACAAATTACACTCAAATTACAATAAAAAAATTAGAGGTGTGTATTTCATATTCACTTGGCAACCAGTTGACAACCGGTTTAATATATGTCGTTGTACATTTATTTCATAATATGATTATATTGTATGCGCAACAACACATATCAAACTGATAGTTGTCAATAAGAGCAGGAGCATATACTTGTTCATAACGCATAAGGAAATCCAGCCATAGTTCTTCATTTTTCTCTCCAAGAGGAAAATAAATAACTTTGATTGATTGATTCTCTTATGTGTAATATATTGCTGGTTTCTTGGTGCAACATTGACAAAGATTGAACGTGTTAATGTGAATTTTTTAACAACTACGTTACACGCGATGCCTCTCAATTTTTTTTTACTGTAGCATCAATATCATTCACTCAACTATAAGATAAATATAATTGTTCATTTTAGGCATTAATAGATGGTTCAAAATATTTATGAATGCTACAAATACATTTATAAGTTACCAATTTCTTATTAATTGTTATTAGCTATATATGAAGTATATAAGTATATAATATGAAGTTTATAAATCATTTTATAATTTTATTTTAAATACATATTTACACTCAAACGCAAAAAACCCGGTACACTAAAAATTTGGGAAAAAATTATAAAGTTTCAAATGATCATAACTTGGTAAATAATGAAGATACAAATATGTGCAGAAATGCAAAATGAAGCTTGACACGTCCTCTTTAAGAATATCTGAATGGCAATTATGCTCGGCCATTTTTTTCAAAATGGCGGATGATAAAGTGAGAGGATGCAAAATTGATAATCATAGGTCCGTGTTTGCGATGGTGCATGGTGTGCATCAGGTATCGCAGCGTAATGGGACCAAATGCACATGAAAGTATAGAGTGTTATCTTTAAAATGCTACTTTACCGAGCTCGATGTGATCATTTTTCACTGAGTTGTTCCAAATTTTGCTGAAAATGCGGTTTTCTTGTTAAATTTGCATAATTCAATGAATAAGTATCGCATCAAGCTCTACGACGAAGTATTTTAAAGAAAACATTCTATACTTTTAGGTACTTTTTGTCCCATTGAGCTGCGACACTTACTTTGCTCCATGCGCCGTCGCACGCTCGAACCTTTTTTTAGCAACTTTTCATGTTCTCCTTTTTATCACCCGCCATTTTGAAAAAATATCGTTGCGCACAATTTCGATAGATCTTTCGAAAAGAACGGTTTCAAAGCTTTCAAACCGTTTTTGAAATTTGCTGCTAGGATATTTAGGTGTCGAGATATTCAATTTCGAATTTGCAACAAATATCGATTCAGCGAGGCTTAAGGGGCTAAGAGGCTCTGCGGTTCATTTGGCTCTTTCATAATTTCAATAGCCGCGTTCATTATTCTCTATACAATAATTTACACAATTTTGCGAATTGGAAATTTAATTTTTATCAAAAGTTATCATTCTTTACCCTTCAGTTACGCATGATCACTGTGGTATACACTTTAGTTCGCGAAGCTGTCCCTAGCTCTCTATCTTCTCCGTACGATTGGCCATTATGGTACACAGCTTGAATATGCTGTTCAGGATCGCGCCTGAGTTCGCGGTGACCCGGCGCGCGGGATGCCGAGACGCTGGACGCCACCTGAACGTCGAAATTCTCTGGCGCTCCTAGTCCACGGAGCCGCCGCGACGCGGCGATCTGGGTTGTCGCGCGCGCGAGCCCCTCGGCTCGCACGCGAGTTCGAGCTGCCCAGGGCATATAAGAGTGCCCGCGGAGACGATCAGAGATTGCCTTCGTATAGCTTTTGGCCTTCGTACGGCCCACCACCGATAGTGGCACTATCTCTTGTACGCTGGACTTCGCGAGTTTGTCAATACGCCGGGCTTACGTTCTGGCTTGACTGAGATTCTGTCGGTGCGCCGGGCTTTAATGCCTGGCTTGACTGGATTTTTCTTAAATGTATGTGCCAAGACAATAAACAAAGACAAACAATTTTCCTTTTCCGAACGTGTTCACTCCGATAAGCGCTGCCTCGTGCGACTTTTCTTTTTCCGTGATCTTTTCCTTTCGAGACGCGTTGCATCGTGCAACTTCATCAATTTAAACCATAATTGATTGTTTCGCATCGAAATTATTGCGTCGATTATGGCGACGATAAATCCTGAAAAGGCTGCTCAAGTTATTGCTTTAATTGAAGATGGCAGAAGTCGAAGGTACGTTGCTCAGGCACTTGATTTGTCAGTGTCAACTGTGCAACGTGCTTATGCCAGGTACTTACAAACCAATTCTTTCCATAGAAGGCCTGGTTCGGGACGTCCTCGATGTACCAATCACAATGATGACCGATTTATTGTTTCAAATTCGTTAAGAGACAGACATCGAACATCTGTTCAAATTAGAAATAATTTAAGGGATGTCCGCAACATTAATGTATCCGTTAACACCGTTCGGAGAAGATTAAAGGAACAAAATCTGCTTTCGCGCAGGCCAGCAGCTGTACCTTTGCTTAAATGTCACCATCGCGTAGCTCGACTCAATTTTGCAGTTGAGCATAGAGACTGGACTTACGCAGACTGGAGCAAAGTACTCTTTAGCGATGAATCTCGTTTTTGTGTCTATTCTCCAGATGGACGAGAACGAGTTTATCGTCGCGGTGGAGAACGATTTGCAGACTGTACGGTAAGTGAGAGGCATAGCTACAATGGAGGCTCTGTAATGATTTGGGCAGGAATTTCAGCTAATGCTCATACAGATATGCACTTTTTTGACAAGAATACGAACGCAGATGTATACGTGGAAGACATACTCATTCCGTATGTTGTTCCGTACGCACGCTTCATCGGAGAGAACTTCTTGTTTATGCAAGACAATGCTCGACCACACACTGCGAGAAGAGTGCTTGATTTCTTCGATGAAGTTGACATAAATCGACTCGATTGGCCAGCAAATAGTCCAGATTTAAATCCAATCGAACACTTATGGGACAACCTCGGCAGGAAAGTACGAAATCACGTACCTGCTCCTCAGCAACTGTGAATAATTCTCGAAAACGAATGGAATACAATTACGCAGGATGAAATTAAAAGACTAATAAGGAGTATGCCTGATCGTATGAATGAGGAAATATGCGCACGAGGCAGTCATACCCACTATTAGTACACACACACCACACACACAGCAGAGAGGGTTTGAAGTCATTAATTACTGCGGGAATTAGGAGTGACGAACAGCGGGGTCCTTATCTCTGCTGTAATACCACACACACACACACACACACACACACACACACACACACACACACACACAGACACACACACACTACATACAATGGGACTTTTCCTACCAGTAAAACTCCATGCGGTTTATATTGGGAAGACTTACAACCATAATTTGAGCTAATGACAGCGGTATCTTAAAACGCAATTCATCTTTATTACGTAATATCGATTACGCAAAATGAAGAACCTAAATTGAATTTTACTTTCATTTCCCTGGCTTTCAAAATAATAAATGCAAATCATTGAATATATTGTGCAGGTTATGTAAATTATTATATAGAAAAACATGAACACAGCTTTTGAAATTATGAAAGAGCCAAACGAACCGCAGAGCCTCTTAGCCCCTTAAGCCTCGCTGAATCGACATTTGTTGCAAATTCGAAATTGAATATCTCGACACCTAAATATCCTAGCAGCAAATTTCAAAAACGGTTTGAAAGCTTTGAAACCGTACTTTTCGAAAGATCTATCGAAATTGTGCGCAACGATATTTTTTCAAAATGGCGGGTGATAAAAAGGAGAACATGAAAAGTTGCTAAAAAAAGGTTCGAGCGTGCGACGGCGCATGGAGCAAAGTAAGTGTCGCAGCTCAATGGGACGAAAAGTATCTGAAAGTATAGAATGTTTTCTTTAAAATACTTCGTTATAGAGCTTGATGCTATACTTATTCACTGAATTATGCAAATTTAACAAGAAAACCGCATTTTTAGCAAAATTTGGAACAACTCAGTGAAAAATGATCACATCGAGCTCGGTAAAGTAGCATTTTAAAGATAACACTCTATACTTTCATGTGCATTTGGTCTCATTACGTTGCGATACCTGATGCACACCATGCACCATCGCAAACACGGACCTATGATTATCAATTTTGCATCCTCTCACTTTATCATCCGCCATTTTGAAAAAAATGGCCGAGCTTAATTGCCATTTAGATATTCTTAAAGAGGACGTTTCAAGCTTCATTTTGCATTTCTGCGCATATTTGTCTTCATTATTTACCAAGTTATGATCATTTGAAATTTTGTAATTTTTTCCCAAATGTTTAGTGTACCGGGTTTTTTGCGTTTGAGTGTAGAAATATGTTACATGTAAATATTTTTCATTGTTCTTTTATGTATGTTTGACAGTATTTATGTAATGTGTTACATATAATAAATATGTAAGATAAATGAATTTTAAATTTAATTTCTATTTATTTATTTCTTCTTCGGAATATACAAAAAGGCACTTAATGAAATACAGTACAATTATAATAAATTTGAAAAATAATCAGCAATAAATTCTTCTCTTGCATTTCTGTGATTATTATCTGGCTGTAACGCTTGTGTGTCCCAATCTTCGTTAAAAATATTTTGGTCCGCATATAAATCAGGATCTTGTGGTGGAAATTCTTCATTCCTTTCGCATGCAATATTGTACTACATGGGCTGAAAAGTCTTTGGCCTGACATATAGATGGCGCCACAAACTAAAAATCCTTATATTTCCTATAGGGTACCAACCTTAACTTAGATGCTGTAAAAATTTCATGATATTTGGTTCACTCGTGTACAAGTTATAGCTTTCGAAGTGACGTTACCTCTGAATTTATCTTTACTATGGAAAAAAGTGAATTTCGTGTTTTGATTAAACATTGCTTCCTGATGGGAAAAAACACTGTTGAAGCAAAGGCATGGCTTGATAAATGTTACGGCACATCTGCCCCACCGAATTCAACCATCAAATATTGGTTTGCTGAGTTTCGTCGTAACCGTACGAGCACAAATGATGCACCACGTTCAGGAAGGCCAAATGAGGCAGTTACTCCAGAAAACATCCAGAAAATCAGTGAAATCGTGTTGAATGACCGCAAAATGAAATTGAGTGAGCTAACTAACATCATATAGGCATCTCAAAGGAACGCGTTGGTCATATCATTCATGAATATTTACATATGAAAAAGCTTTGCGCGCGTTGTGTGCCGCGTTTTTTGACAATTGAGCAAAAAGCGGAACGTGTTCGACTTTCAAAGCAAAATCTGGCCCTATTTAACCGCAATAAGAAGGAGTTTTTGCGTCGATTTGTCACAATGGATGAAACATGGATCCATCACTATACACCGGAGTCCTATCGGCAGTCAGCGGAGTGGTTATTGCCTGGTGAAAGCCGTCCGAAGCACCCGAAGACACAACCATCAGCCGGCAAGGTTTTGGCCAGTATTTTTTGGGATGCGCATAACATAATATTCATTGATTATCTTGAACATGGTAAAACTATCAATAAAGAATATTACTGTACATTACTGGATCGATTGGACGACGAGGTCAAGGTCAAACGGCCACATTTGGCAAAGAAAAAAATTGTGTTTCACCAAGACAATGCTCCAGCTCACTCGGCTCGCGATACGACCGATAAATTAAAGAAATTGCGCTATGAATTGGTCCCGCATTCCCCGTATTCTCCAGACCTGGCCCCCAGCGACTATTTCCTTTTTCCCCGACTGAAGCAGTGGCTCGCTGGTAAAAGATTTTACTCGAATGAGGAGGTCAAGTTGGAAACAAATGCCTATTTTGAGGGACTTGACACCGAGCACTATAAGACCGGCATCGAAATGTTAGCGGACCGTTACACTAAGTGCATTACTCTAAATGGAGATTATGTCGAGGCAGAAAACACTTTTTTCATTAAAAAAATCGTTTTTTCATTGTTAAGCCAAAGACTTTTCAGCCCATGTAGTACAATACTGCTGTGGCGACAATAACAGCCATACTCGTTTGTAACTTCAACCGTAGTCCTAAGGACAATATAGGGAAACGTCTTTTCTATACGCCATATTATCGTTCTACAGGATTGCGTGTGCGAATTATTGCCTCATTATATAGTTCTTCGATGTTATTGTGAATATCAAGTAACGAAGTAATGACAAACATTGTATTGGTGTAACCACTGTCTCCAACCAGTAAACTATTACCAAACTTGTTGCTTTCAAGTCGTTCCTTTACTCTCGAATTATTAAATATTGTTTGGTCATGAACTGATCCTGGCCAGCGTGCTACAATATCTAATATTTTAAGATTAGCTGAAGACACTGTTTGCACATTAAGGGAAAAATAACCTTTCCTATTCCTGAATAATAATTCTGCATTCGCTCCACCTTTAAAAGCATTAAAAAAGATAAGAAATATGTATAAAGTATTTATGAAAAAAGTTTACTTAAAAATAATTTACCAGGCGATTGGATCCTAACATATGTGCAATCAATAGCACCAATTATTTTTGGAACTCTTGCTCTGCTATAAAATTCTATTCGAGCCTTATTTATTTCCTCAGCATCAGATGGCATTTTTATATATTGAGGAGCAAGTTGTGCAATCGCAATTGACACTTCTATGACTATCTTGCAAGCAGAACTCTTGCTAACACCTACAAAATCTCCAGCTGCTATTAACATTGTGCCTAATGCATAGTATCTCAAAGTTAATATCAATTTATCGATTGGTCTAATAGCATGATTTCTGAAAAAAATATTTATTAGTTATTATTTTAATTTAGTAATCAATACCAAATTATATGTAGATACCTATCTGTAGGACTTTCTATGACATTTTCTATTTGTTCTAGAATGATCAAAACTGTTTCTTTTTTTAACCGAAATCGTCGAAAAAAGTCCAACTCGTCCCATCTGGCAAAATAATTGATTCTATCTCTTATGATGTATAGTCTTCTTTCCCATTCCAGGAATTCAATAATTTCTTCATCATCATTAATGAAATCGTTTAAATCCATATTGAGAATAATAACTATCTGGGAAAGAAAGTTCATACATTAGTATATAAAATTAGATATGATTATATATAATTATAATTTTTGTTCATATATGGTACATCATATGTACTGTATATGACCATATCTATTATATATGCACATACAGAAAAAAATACTATTAAATGAACAAAGGAAAACATAATTTGATGAAGTTAAACATCATGGGCTACCATAAATATAAGCATTTATTTCATTTACTTCACAACAGCATATTTTTCGATATGGTCATATGTAATTATATATGATTATACATGATCATATATGGACAAAATTCATATTAAAATTTTTTTCCCGAGTAATTATTAAATAATCGTTACACTATATGTTCGTTGTTTAGAGTCGCATCAACACAAAAGTAAGGTTAAGTTTATGTCGCACAGTCACTATATACAGACTGACACATAATCTGGTTACTTTCCGTCTGTCAGTTGTACTTAGCAGACAAAAATTCTGCTAGTTACTTTAACAAACACTTTAACTAACAGTTCATGTGTAACTATTAGTTACCCCGCATTGATAAACATATAACTTACAGTTAGCACTTAACTATTAGTCAAATTTAACTTAACTGAATATTGATAAGCCGGTCCTAAAAGTAATAAATATAACTGAACCTTTTGTGTTGAACTTGAGAATATACTCTAATATATAAAATACATGTGCATGAGATAAGCGACATCGAACTGTCAAGAAAAGGATCTTCAATATTTGATGAAAATGTTACCAACTCAGTACTATTTATAATAATTCAAATGTGTGTAAAAAAGATGTGAAAACCAAATAAAATTACTTTAAAAAAAAAGAAGAAGAAGCTCCAAGTACACACGTTCCAGCGTTTGTTCCGCAAATATACATTTTAAAAAATGTTATAAAAGAATAAGGACCAAGAAAATAATATGGGATGTTATATTTTAAAAATTCCCCAAAAATTATTTCATTGCATGGAAAAAAATATTCAGGAAAAATTATTAATGCAAGTTTGTACAAAAAATGTTACTTTTTAATCTTTTTAAAAAAAAGTAATGAAATCAAAAAGTTACGCCAACTGATAATGCGAAAATATGTTGTGTAAGACATGAAAAACGAAGCAACGAAAGCAAATAAAATTAAAAATAATAAAACAATGAAAAATAAAATTAAGATTTAGACAAAAACATTTGGCGTACCCAAGATGCATTAAAACAAAAGTTGTAATAGATTATACATTTCAATCTTCTAATAATTGCGTTGGTACATTTTATAATTATATAATGGCAATCTATATTTCTAAAAAAAAATTAATATTGAAAGTGTTAACTAAAAAAAACTAAAAAAAAGTTAATATTGAATGTGTTAACACTATTTATATATTTGACAGTTTATAATATAATATAATATCTGGGTACGCCAAGCGTTTTTGTCTATATCTTAATTTTATTTTCCATTGTTTAAATATTTTTAATTTTATTTGCTTTCGTTGCTTCGTTTTTCATGTACTTCAATTACGACCTTTATTACCTATACAAAGATCATATTTTTATACAATTATCGGATGCAAATATTAATAAATATCTTGGTTCTTTAGGTACTGTTAATTTGTGGGCTACCTTATTTGACTATGACGAATTAACAATCAATATGTGTCAACAAAGATACATCTTATTGCAATTTATTATTCAGAATTCGAATTGGTTTACTGACTAAATCTGATTCAAAAATTCTAGAAAGTAGAAAAATATCTTTCAAATACATTTCATTTGAGTCTAGATTAAATGAATTATGTAACTTTATCAATGATTTGCCACCGGACACTGTATGCTTATTTCCTACTTGTCATATGTGCGATGTTCTAAATCTTGCAATGTTAAATCGTATATCTTCAAAAGAAATATTATTGATTGCTGAAGATATTATTGAATGTATCTAATATGTAAAAAAGAAAGTATTAAAGTTATTGTCAGATAATGATGATAATAATTCTAAAAAAGCTGACCTTTCGAAACAAATTATTATTAAGATCGGAGCAAAAGTTATGATAATATTGATGCTAGTTTGGGTCTTGTAAATGGTACAATTGCTACTGTTATTGTAGAGGATATTATAGAGGATCAATTGTAGAGGATACGTCAACCAACTATATAGAAAAAATAAACATTTTCTTACCGTCAGGAATGAAATATTTAATTGAAAGAATAAGCGTTAAGTTTGAGGTAATGGATAGAGTATATGTCATTAGAAAGCAATTTTCATTGTCTTTAAGTTATGGAATTATTGGGTAAGTGCAAAAGTTCGTGCGGAGTTTCAATAGATGGAGTTATAAGCGTCGTAAAGTGTTGTCATTAATACTTCCATCTACATATTATATAACGTTGAAAAGGTGACGTCTTCAGCTGTTATTAAAAAAAAAATCATTTGTTTTCATACAAACTGCTTCGAGAAATATCACTTTAAAAATGAGTATCGATAAGGTACACTTACGGCATGTTATGCTTTACGAGTTTCAGAAGGGAATAAACGTTGCCGCAGCCGTAAAAAACATTCAGGATGTTTATCAGGATGAAGCACCAGCTAAACGAACTGTGGAAAAATGGTTTGCTAAATTTCGGCGCGGAGAATTTAACCTTGAAGACGAGCCACACTCTGGTCGACCTTTTGACATTGATGACGATGTTTTGCGTAATTTAGTGCTCAATAATCCGCGAATTTCAACAGAAGAAGTTGCTACAACACTAAACGTTGACCGATCAACCGCTTTTCGGCGTTTAAAAAAGATGGGATTCGATTTGAAGCTCGATATATGGGTGCCCCATTTGCTGACCGAGAAGAACAAAATCAAGCGAATTTCTGCAGCCGTTTCTTTACTCGGGCGGCTCAATAAGGAGTCGTTTTTGGATCGACTAGTGACGGGCGATGAGAAATGGGTCCTCTACAACAATGTTCAGCGCAAACGGACATGGAAACAATCAGGTGAGCATGGTGACGCAATGCCAAAGGCCAGTTTGCACCCGATGAAGGTGATGCTCTCTGTTTGGTGGGATTGCAAGGGCATAATCTATTTCGAGCTTCTCCCCGCTGGCGAAACGATTGATTCGGACAAGTACTGTCGCCAATTAACCAATCTGAATCGAGAAATAAAAGAGAAACGTCCGATTTTGTCAAATCGCAAGGGAGTCGTCTTTCATCACGACAACACCAGACCACACGTTTCGAAAAAGACGTTGCGCAAACTGAAGAGCCTGAAATGGGATGTCTTAACGCATCCACCATATTCTCCTGATATCGCACCAATATTTCGACTTACAGTGCACGTAGGACAAAAGTAAATACAATTTTGTTATGTAAATCGACCCCAAGGAGTCCATTAAGCTCATTTAGAATTCGATCAGATTAGTCGCTTGGGTGGTACGATAATTTTGCCTCCGATCAACTAAGTGCTTCGTGTAAAGACACCCGGCCGGTCTCGCGGCCCGTGCACGTCGCGTCGCTCTCGCGTGCACTTGGCGCAAGACACTGCCGTGTCTCTTGATAAAATATATTGGCACGTATATATTGGGTCTGGGAAAAAGTTCGTGGCGTTTCTCCCGATAGACGGCGTCAATTGCAAATAACTCAGGAAGCACATATCGCAGCGACACCACTAAACGCTCGTTGGAAAGATGACGCTTCCAGCGTTACTTTGAGTGTATAAACATCGAAATTGGTGCAGTGGTTGAAAAGTTGTTTGCGTTTGAAAATGGAGAAAAGTAGTGAAAAATTGCGCTATATTTTGCAATATTATTACGACAAAAGGAAGAACACTGCGCAGGCTTGTGAAAAAATTTGTGCTGTGTACGGTGAAGGTATTTTATCAAAATCTGCTGCGCGGAAATGGTTCGCTCGCTCTCGTTCTGGTAATTTTGATGTGAAAGATGAGTCACGTTCTAGTCGTCCAATCACTGAAAAAACTGATGAAATTCTTGAAAAAGTCCAGCAAGATAAGCATATCAGCAGTGTCGATATTGGTATGGAGCTTTGATGATACTGACGGTCGTAGAGATCTAGCCCCTCCGAGGACATATGCTGGACGAGGCGGTCGGCAACGATGCGTTCGAGCATCTTGCCCGCCTCGTCCAGCAGGCAAATCGGCTTATAGGCCGACGCGCTCTCGGGTGGCTTACCCTCCTTGGGGAGGAGGACCAGTTTGACCCTCCTTCATACCGGGGGGAATACTCCCTCCCTGAGGTACCCACTAAAAACCCCGCATAGTGCCGCGGACAGGTTCTCTTCGCCAAGTGCGAGAGCCCAGGCTCGACCAGGGACTCCATCAGAGCCTGGGGCTTTCCCCTTGCCTCCGAGTCGTCTCCTGGCCCTGATGAGCTCCTCCGGTCCCACAGCCAGGTCCTCATCCCAGTCTTCCTCCTCCATTTCGGGGAAGGGAATCTTGGGTGGGCCCCCTCCACCCTCGGGAAAAGGGTGTCAAGGAGGCCCTCGAGGACCTAGCTGTCCAACGTCTCCGTTGGCGGGGGCGCCCAAGGGCGGGTTTTGCCCATCGCTCTTTTATACGGGCGCCCCCACTGATCGTCGTTCAGAGAGCTCGTCAGCTGCTCCCAGGCTGCTCGCTTCGATTCGGCGATGGCGACTCGGAGGGCCTTCCTGGCAGCCAGGCAGCCCTCCTGCGCCCTCGCGACATCCCCGTCTCTTCGCCGGGTCCGGTACACTAACCGTCTGGCCTGGACGGAGGAGTCGCGGAGTTCCGCGATCTCCTCCATCCACCAACATGCAACCCGACGACGGCGGGGGTAGCACCCTCTGACTATCACTTGTTCCGATCTCTGCAGAACTCTCTCAATGGAATTAAGCTGGTTTCAAAAGAAGCCTGTGAAAACCACTTGATTCAGTTTTTCAACCAGAAACCACAGAAGTTCTTCACTGATGGCATCATGGCATCTACTCGAAAAATGGCGAAACGTTATCGATAATAATGGAGCATATTTGGTTTAAAT